GCTCCCTAAACAACCTCCACATTTCTGTCGTGCATTTCCCTGAGAACATCTGATCCAAATTTGTGCTCCGCAGTTCTTGCTAATAGCATTGTAATTCCCCTTCCCCCAATTAAATACTTTCCCATACCGTCTGCTCCTATTCCTCTCCATGACTATAGTAAAGATCAGAGAATTGTGATCACTACCACCGAAATGCTCTCCCACCAAGAGATCTGATACCTGGCCTCGTTCATTGCCAAGCACAAATCCAAAATGGCCTCCCCTCTAGTCCGTCTATCTATGAATTGAGTCAGAAATCCTTCTGGTCACACCTGACAAAATCTGCTCCATCCAAACTATTTGCAGGTTTATTAGGAGGTTCCAGTCTATACTGGGGAAACTGAAGTCACCCATGACAACAACCTTATTACTTCTGCACCTTTCCAAAATCTGTCTCCCAATCTGTTCCTCAGTGTCTCTGTTGCTATTGGGGGTCTATAGAAAACTCCCAAAAAAAGTTACTGCTCCTTTCCTGTTTCTGACTTCCACCCATACTGACTCAGTGGACAAACCCTCCTTCATGATTGCCCTTTCTGCGGCTGTGATACCATCCCTGTTTAGCAATGCCACTCCCCCACCTCTTTTACCTCCCTCCCTATTTCTTTTGAAATATCTATACCCTGGAACATTCAACATCCGTTCCTGTCCCTGTGATATCCAAGTCTCCGTAATGGCCACAACATCGTAGTTCCAAGTACTGATCCATGCTATAAGTTTGTCACCCTTATTCTTGACACAATTTGCCCTATCAACTGCTTATCCTTCCTCACAGATTCTCTGCTTCCTCTACCTGCCTGTACACCGGCTACCCCATCCTCTGATCTGAATGGGTGTGGTCAGGTTCCCACAGAACCAGAGTTTTAGTTTAGCTTTCAGTAGTTTTTGGGGTTTTAAGTTGGCTGTGGAAACCATACATCTCTCTGGCCACAGCAAAAAGCTGGAGTTCTCTCCCTATGCAACATCGCATGTGAGACAATCTATTTTATTGAATTTGTCCTTGCCAAAGGTGTGCTCATGGGATCTTACTATATTGGAACAGTTGCTGTATATTAGTTAAATAATCTATTATTCGATTACATTTTCCAATAAAGTTGAAGTTGCATTAATTCTTCTTTCTTTTATTTGCGTTTTATCTGTAGAATAACAATAAAATGTGTTTTGCGTAAAGTCTAGTAGTGTGACTAATCAAATTACATATGGAACAGAACACCTTCCACTTGCCTTTAAACAAAATAAAAAATTAAAGTCCAGGCCATCTCCTTGATATATCTGAATGGTCTGGCCCTTAACATTTCCTAACTGCCAACTGCATGTTAACCTTCTGAGAATCCTGAACTATTGCCCTTAAGTCCCTTTGTGCTTCAGATTTCTGAAGCCTTTCCCCATTTAGAAAATAGTCTATGCTTCTACTCTTCCTAGTAAAGTGCATGATCTCAGACTTTCCCACATTGTATTCCATCTGCCCATTCCGCTGCTCTGTCCAAGTCCTTCTGCAGCTTCCCTACTTCCTTCATACTACCTGTCCCTCCACCGATCATTGTGCCACCTGCAAACTTAGACACACTGCCCTCAGTTCCTTCATCCAGATCATTAATGTATAACGTGAAAAGTTGTGGTCCTGACACTGACCTCTGTAGATCTCCACTAGTCACTAGCTTCCATCCTGAAAGAGACCTCTTTAACCCTACTCTCTGCCTTCTGCCAGTCAGCCTATCCTCTATCCACACCAGTATCATGCCCCTAACACCATGGACTCTTATTTTATTTAGCAGCCTCCTTGCAGCACTTTGTCAAAAGCCTTCTGAAAATCCAAATATATCATATCCACTAGCTCTCCTCTGTCTAACTTGTTAATTTCCTCCTCAAAAAAATTCTAACAGATTTATCAGACACGACCTCCCCTTGGTGAAGCCATGCCGACTCCACCTGTTTTACCATTCACTTCCAAGTACTCCACAATCTTATCCTTAATAACTCTAAAATCTTACCAGTGACTGAGGTCAGGCTAACCAGTCTACAATTTCCAGTCTGCTGCCTGTCTTCTGTTTTAAACAAGGGTGTTACATCAGCCATTTTCCAGTCCTCTGGGGCCCTCCCTGACTCCTTGATTCCTGAAAGATCATCTCCTCAGCTATCTCCTTCAGACCCTGGGATGTAGTCCACCTGGCCTGGGTGATTTATCCAGACCAGATATCGTTTCAGCTTCCCCAGTGCCTTCTCCTGAGTGATGGCCACTACACTCACCTCCGCTCCCTGACTCTCCTGAAGTTCTGCTCTACTACTGGTGTCTCCCAGCATGAAGACAGATGCTAAGTGCCTGTTCAGTTCCTCTGCTGTTTCTTTGTTCCCCATACTACTTCTCCAGCCTCATTTTCCACAGTCCAATGTCCACGCTTGCCTCTCTCTTACCTTCTACATATCTAAAAATAAAACTCTTATTACTAGCTAGCTTACCCTCTTATGTCATTAGTTGTCCTCTGCTGGTTTTTAAAGGCTTCCCAATCCTCTGGTTTCCTACTATTGTTCATCATATTGTATGCTTTTTCTTTTGCTTTTATGCTGTCCTTGACTTCCCTGGTCAGCCACCATTGCCTTGTGCTCCCCTTTGTATGTTTCTTGGGATGAATTTCTGCTCTGTCTCCTGAATTACCCTCAGAAATTCCTACCACTGATGCACAAACATTTTCTCTGCTTGGGCTCCCCTTCCAATCAACTCTCTAACCAATCAGCAGCTCCCTCATGTCTCTGTAGTTACCTTTACTCAATTGTAATACGGTTACATCTGATTCCACCTTCTTCCTCTCAAGCTGCAGCGTGAATTCTATCATTCTATGGTCACTGCTCCCCAGGGGGCTCCTTCACCTTAGGCTTCATTAGGAAGCTTGTCTCATTACCCATCATGAAATGCAGATGTGCCTGCCCCTAATGGGCTCTACCACAAGCTGCTCCATAAAAAAAATTTATCTTGTAGACATTCCACAAATTCCTTTTCTCAGGATTCACTACCAACTTGATTTTCCCAGTCCACCTGTATATTGAAGTCCCCATAATTACTGTAATAGTGCCTTTCTGACATGCCTTTTCTATCTCCTGATTTATTTTCTTCCCCATATCAAGGAAGACTGTAAAAGTTGTGTCTTACACAGCATATACATGCCTAGGCTGTCCAATAGTTCCTCATAAGACAACCTACTTGTTCCACCTATTAGTCTTGTAAACATTCTCTGAACTACTTCTAATACATTTACACCTTTCCTTGAATAAGGAGACCCATGCCATACACAGTACAATAATTCAGGTATGGTCTCACTGCTTTGATTAATAGAAGTATAACCTACTTAGATTTATGTCCAATAGCCCTTGCAATAAAAAAAACATTTTATTAGTTTTCTTAATTACTTGCTCTAACCTGCTACTAACCTTTTGCAAATAATGCACCAGGATACCCAGGTCCTTCTGCACCTCAGAGCTCTGCAATTTCCCACCATTTAGATAATATGCTTTTTTAAAAAAAAAATTCTCCATGCCAAAATGAATAATTACACAGTTCCTCACAATATACTCCTTGAACCAGATTTTCTGCCTACTCACTTAACCTATCTTTAATCCTTTGATAGCTTCCTTATGTCCTCTTCACAACTCATTTCCTATTAATCTTTTTATCTTCAGCAAATTAAGCATGGAACCTTCATCCAAGTCATTTGTGTAAGATTGTAAAAATTGAGGCCCCAGCACTGATCCCCTATGGCACACTATTTATTACATCTTGCCAACTTTTTATGATTGCTTTCTGTTTGATATTAGCCAGCTAATCTTTCCATTCCAATATGTTAACAACATGAGCTTTCACTTTCCATGATAGTTTTTGATGTGACAGCTTATCAAATGCCTTCTGGAAATAGTTTATTGGTTTGCCTTTATTCATAGTCCATATTACTTTCTCAACGAACTTCAATAAATTTGTTAAACATGATTTCCCTTTCAAAACATCATGTTGACTCTGCCTGATTACGTTGAATTTTCCAAGAGTCCTGCTATTGGTTCTTTAATCATAGACTTCTAACATCATCTCTATAGCTGATGTTAAGCTAGCTGACCTGTAGTTTCCTGGTTTCTGTCTCCCTTTCATTTTGAATAAGGGAGTTCACTAATTTGTACTCAATAGATCCTTCCCTGAATTGAGGGAATTTTGGAAAATTAAACCCAGTCTTTCAACTATCCCACTAGACAATTCTTTTGAAACCCTATGGTGAAAGTCCATCAGGACTTGGAGACTTGTCAGCCCGCAGCTCCAACAATTTGCTCAGTGCCACCTCCCTGGTGATTCTAAGTTTCTTGAGTTCCTCCCTCCCTTTCATTTCTTGATTTGCAACTAATTTTTTGATGTTCTTCATATTCTTTATGGTGAATACTGATGCAAAAACCAGTTTAGGTCATTGGTCATCCCCTTATTTTCCAATATTAATTCCTCAGATTTGCTTTCTTTTGGACCTACATTCACATTGTTAACTTTTTCTCCTTTTAAATATCTATAAAAGCTCTTTGATGACTCACGTCAGAGATTATAGATCCTTAGTTTCTGAACATATTCAAAACAGGGAATAACAGACTTTTGGATATCACATGAATTGAGGGATTTAAAGCTAAGTGTTTGGATGACATAGCTGACCATCTGTAATCTTCCTAAATGGTGGAGTGGGATCAAAGGCCCACATTTGTGCTCTTTTTAAAATTTTTACTGCTAGACCAAGGAAAATAATAATTCTTTTTCCTTGAAGTCCTTTGCAGTCACTTTGTTTTTCACATAAAGAATTAAAGTGTTCTCACTAATTCTCTTTCAAAAGCTGTTTGATTGACACTGCATCGTAAGGGCACAATTGCACAGGGAACTTTCTGTTACACACACAAATGCAGCAACAAAATAAAACAACCATCAAAAGAACTGGAGGAAAAACATTTACCTCTTTTCGATATACATAACAAGATGCTATTGCTACCATCGCCGATTCTCCCAGAAAACCAGCAAGAAGTGAACCAACACCTAAAGCAGCTCCATGTATCCTAAGAAATACAGAGATGCTTTTATAAGTAGATACAATGTCATTATTGAAAAAGTAAACAATTCAGAATTTCTTTATACAACATGCAAAATTATCCAAATATTTGACATCATTCAGTTTATTAATTAGGTTATAAGATTATATTTGGGGATCATCAATCTTATTTTCTACTGAATACTTCAAGGGACTTGCATATGTGCTCTTGTATAATTTTGGTGTGTGGGAGATTATTTAGTCACTTTTTAATACAGAGAATAGATTTCATTTTATAGAAGTAAAACAACTCCAGAAATCACTCCATTATTCGGTGAATGATTAATTTAAACTTAATTCTTTGCTATTTTAGAGTTGAGGTCCCTGCACCAACTCACGTGGCACACCACTTGTGCCAGCCTGCTGCCTGAAAAAGACACATTTGTTCCTACTCTCTGCTTCTTGTTTTTCAACCAATCTTCTACACGTGCCAACATGTTTAAACCACCCCTCCTCACCCCACCCCATATACGAATTTTGGCAATCAATATGTGTGCGCCTAGCTTCCACAATCAGCAGTATCTGACATACATCAATGGGACATTAATCAGATCTGTTTTAGCAATTCTTGTTGAGGGATAATTATTGATCAAAATAACAAGGAAATTGCACCTACTCTTTCTTGAAACAGTACTAAACAATCTTTTATGTCCAGCTGAGAGTTCAGGTGGGGCCTTAGTTTTAACATTCCATCAAATGGCACATCTGACAATGCTGCACTCCTTTAGTATTACACTTTGGCATAAAAAATGTATTATTTAAACAGCGAATGACTGCAGGAATTCTGAGGTGATGACCACAGCAAACTAAGTACACGAGCCTCAAGAAGTTAGGTTGCAGGTACAGCAAGTGATTGAGAAGATTAATAGGATGTTATCCTTTATTACAAGAGGATCACTAAATGCAAAATTATGAATGTTATGCTTCAGATATAAAAGGACATTGGTGAGACCACATCTTGATTATTTTATGCAGTTTCAAGGAAGGATGTAAGTGCGTTGGATGTTCAGATGAGGTTTACTAGACTGATGTTAGCAGGCTGTCTTCTCAGGAAAGGTTAGCCAGACTGGGTTCAATTCCACAAGAGTTTAGTGACAAGCCACTGGGACTAAACAAAATACATCTAAGGGAGTGGAAGCGAAAATTAGAGACACTGACAATGATGTTTCAATGTTCCCGAGTACCAGTATTGAGGACTAGAGAATTGCAGATATTACTCCTTTGTTCAAAAAAAGATGGGACGAACAATTACAGACTAATTACAGTCAGTTACTTCAGTGGTATGGAGACTTCTAACTACATTTATTTGGGATAAAATTAATAACCACATGGGTTAATTCAGAGAGTCAGCATGGATTTGTAAAGGGAAAATCATATCTAACTAAATTGCTGCAGATTTTTAAAGAAGTAACAGGGTTCGTGAGGGAAAAGGTCATTTTGTGGTCTACTTCGATTTCCAAAAGGTGTTTGATTCAGTATCACATAACAGACTTGTGGGGAATATTATGGACCATGGAATAAAAAACACAACTGCAATGTGGATACAAGATTAGCTGAAGGGTAGGAAACAGAGTAATAATTAACGGGTACAAACACAGAATGCTGGAAAAACTCAGATGGTCTGGCAGCGTTTGTAGAGAGAAAAACACAGTTAACGTTTTGAGTCCAATACAAGTCTTCTTCAGAACACTGTTCATGTTGGAAGATTCGTATCAGGCTTGAAACGTTGACTCTTTCGCTCTCCACAGATGCTGCCAGAACTGCTGAGTTTCTCCAGCACTCTGTTTGTTTCAGATTTCCAGCATTTATTTTGCTTTTATTCAAATGGATAATGGGTATTTTTCAGACTGGAGGAAAGTTTGAAGTGAAACTATGCAGGGATTTCACTGGCATCTTTGGTTTTCCAAATATATATAAATGATCTAGATCTTGGTGTGCAGGAGACAATTTCAAAAGTTTGCAGATGACAAAACTTGGCAGAATTATAAACTGAGAAGGACAATGTAGAAAATCAAACAGATATTAGCAATATGGTGGCAGATGAAGTCCAATTTGGAGAAATGTAGGTGAAACACTTTGGTACAAAAGAACATGTGAGACAGTATAAAATAGAGGTTACTATTCTGAATGGTGTGCAGGAACAGAGAAACCTTGATTAAGAAGTGCATAATTTATTAAAGGTGGCAGAACAGGTACAGAGAGCTGTTAAAAATAAACAGCATTCTAAGCTTTGCTAATAGGGACATAGAGTACAAAAGCAGGGAGTGCAAAAGCAACTAGAGTACAGTGTACAGTTCTGGGTGCCACAATTTAGGAAGGATGTGAACACATTGGAGAAAGTGCTGATGACATTTAATTGTACAGTTCCACGCATGAGAAACTTTAGTTATGGAGATGGATTGGAGAAGTTAGAACGGTTTTCCTTAGAGAAAGGAATTCTGGGTTGAGATGAGGTGTCTGTGCAGAGGGGATACGGAGAAACTGTTCTCACTTATAAAAGGATCGAGAACCCAAGAGCATAATTTTAAAGTGTTTTGTAAAAGATGCAAATGCAAGGTGGAAAAAGTTGGGTTTTTTTTCTCAAGGAGGTTATATGTTATCATGTAGACAGAAATGTAGATTTGACGTTACAATCAGATCACCCATGATCTCAATGAATGCCCTACTCCTGCTCCTGATTCTTATGTTCATGAGTGTTTTTCACACAGCAAGTGGTTTGGGTTAGGGATGCACAGCCTGGAAGTGTGGTGGAGGCATTCAAGAGGGCATTGGATAGTTACTTTAATAGAAACAATGTGTTGGGTTATGGGGAAAAAGCAGGGGCTTGGTATTATCAAAATGTTCAGAGAGCCGACGCAGACACAATGGGCCATATGGATTCTTGCTGCACTATTACAATTTTGCAGTTCTGAGTGAGGAATAACTTGATGTATGATGTAGGTAAGATTTTAAGTGGTCTTGATAAGGTGGGTGTGGAAAGGGTATTTCTTCTGATGGGCAAATCCAGAACTAGGGGCTCTGTTTAAAAGTTACGGGCCACCCTTTTAGGGCAGTTGAAATTAATTTTTTTCTGAGGATTTTGCAACTTTGGAATTCTGTGCCACAGAAGGCAGTGGAGGTCAGGAGATTAAATACTTTTAAGATAGATATCGATTAGATTCTTGTTTGACAGCAGATTCAAAGTTATTGCAGGTAGAGTGGGATGTGGAATTCAAAATACAAAAGAAACAGCCATGACATTATTGAATAGCAGAGCAGGCTTGCAGGGCTGAATGGCATACTTCTGCTCCTAACCTCATATGTCGAGGGTCACTTTGGATTGTGTACTCAAAGTTCTGGAGTGGGACAAATCTATCTCAGGGGTGAGAATGCTGAGCGAAGGCTGACGCTATGGATGATGTTAGTACAATTAGGCTTTTGATACAAGCCACAAAGTCCAACAGCCACCCAAGAATTACGTTACAATCACAAGCAAGACTAATACTAACCCCATATAAGGGAGAATGATCAGACTTGTAATGAGAAGCACTATCCTCAACACTGAACTGGGTGCCAGCACAAAAGTCTTCTTTAAGGTCATCAGCCAACCAGTCAGGTGTGCTCGAATTGTAACTGTAAGAAAGAGTGAGTGGTTAATAACATATTGTGGTACATCTCATCTTTCTAAAAAAAAACTTGTGTACGGATGTTCATTTTAGTTTCAAACAGCCAGAAAAATCTGTTTCTGTATCACTGTTAGAGATTTAGGCGATGCAAGTGTATTCGAAATAGACCTCCTACTTTCAATCTGTGCGAAAATCAAAATAGTGATCTTTGCTGATCTCTTCAGATACAGTGCATGTATTATATTTCCCCAGATCTAAAGCTTTAGATTGGATGGGTGATGAAACAGAAATCTTGCTGTATTCTGCTTCAGTCCTTATTGCAGTATCCAAGCTCATGGGAGATCAAGTAATCACAGTAATGTCAGCCAGGTAACCAAGACATTACCGACAAGCTTTGGCTCTGAAAGGAAGCAGTGAGAGTGAAAAGACAGGAAAAATGAGTGCACCAGGTGATGCTCTGCACTAGAAACAGAAATTAATAAAATTGCTAAGTATCTAGAAGTGACCATTATGTGGCAATTTATTCATGCTCATGACTGATTTTCCACTAAGTGATAGATAAATAATAATTTAATTATTATAATTAATGATAATTAAATTTGTACGCTAGGTGTGGTTTCATTTGGATAAATCTTACATAAATTACTGTATGGAGCTTTTCTCACTATCTGATTATATGCTTTATAATAGTATTCACGGTATGTAACAGGCAAACACTATAAATCGACAGAAGTCACCCGCAGCATAGAGGAGAAACACATTGTGGCAAAGATAAATGAATAGGAAACCATGTGTCACAACACACTTTACCAACCATCTTACTCAATATTTCTCAATGTGCAAAACCCAGATAACCCTTTAAATCCAAAGTTTAAAACTTGCCTCAATGTCCTCAATACCTTTGTTAACCTTGTTACGATCTAGTATAAGCATTACTCTACCCCCAGTAGGGCTGAATTATGCAAAAACAGAATTGCATTGAATATTTGAGCTATTTAATTGATGTATTTGTATTCAAACAACTTGGAATAGGAGCAAAATGTATGCACAAAGAAGTGAAGCAAGGTCAGGAGTGACTCCAGTTTCAATGCATTCCAGAGTTAATAGCTGTCGACTTTCACATTATAACCTCCAAAAACAGGATAGCCACCTGCAGGACTGACTGTCGTCCAGTCGCTGGATTGTAAAGACAAAGATCCCCAGACTCTAGTCCAGAGATCTAGGAAAGACAAGTGGAAGTGGTGTATAAATAAGGCGAGGCAGGATTTTATCACAATGCAAATACATGGAAATAAGGTAGTTGCCGCTCAAGGAAGAGAATTTAAAGTCACCATTTAGACCCTGAGGAAAAGTTTTCCACAATGTGGAGGACCAGATCTCTTCATTCCCACTGTATCTTCCTACCTTTCTTATCATTACCTAGGGGAAAGTTCTGCCCTATGTTCTTATTTGGATGAGTTGATCAGGAAAGCCACTGACTTGGTAGGAACTACCAAGCTGCTGCAGAAGCTGAATACGACAAGTGGAAGGCATATGTAAGGGAAAACAGATTTGCAGAAAAACCCAAAGCTTTATTGAAAATAAAGGCACTGATCTTATACACGCCCTTCCACTACTAGCTGAAACTGCTCTCCACTCCAACCCTGTCACTAGTAGGTGCGGTTCGATCAGGTGTTGGAATTCTGAGATTCAAAGTTCAACACCAATTGTCTGCATTTAAGTGGCAGCTTGAACTTTCATCCCATAATGTCCTTCATAGGAGTGTTATCAAATAAAACCATCAAACATAACAAAGCCAAGTCGAAAAGGGAGCTATTAAAACAATATTCAGTCATAGAGGCAGTTTTAAGAAACATTATAAAGGAGCAGATGGGAGAGAGCCAGAGAGGTTTAGGCAGGCAATTCCAGAACATAGGATTGTAACAGTTGAAGGAGTCACTGTCTGTGGGGGAGTGGAGATGCATATGAAATCTGAATTGGAGTGCAGAGATCTATGAATTCTGGGGCTGTAAAGAATTAGAGTAATAATTTATTACAGGCAAAGGTAAAGCCTTGGAATGATTTAAAAATAACCACGAGAATGACTAACCTGAGCTGCAGACCTGGAGCTAATGTAGGCTAGTGATTGTGATGAATAAACAGAACTTGGATCAATAATCACGATACAAGCAACAATTTTGGGAGCTCAGTCCAATGAAAGATAGAAGTTGGCTGGGCAGCCCAAGGACATTGAGTAGTTGAGTTCATGGTCTCAGAAAATGGATGTGGCTTTCAACATTTGCAACCACTTTTATCCAGAAATGCCGAGTGGGTGATCCTTCTTGGACTCCTCCTGAGACCCTAGCATCAAAGTTGCCAGCTATCAGTCAATTTGATTCACTGCATGTGATATCAAACAAAGTCTGAAGGCACTGGAAATTGCAAAGGCAATGAAAAGAAGCCATTGCAAACTATTCTCTGGCAATAACTAAACTGACAAGAATGGACACTAAAATAAAACAAAGAATTATAGATGCTGGAGATCTGAAACAAAAAAAAACAAAAATCGCTGGAGAAACTTAGCAGGTCTGGCAGCACCTGTGGAAAAACAAAGACAGTTAACTGTTTGAACCCAATGACCATTCTTCAGAACTCTGCTGAATGACAGAACATTATCGCCAACTACAAAGACTACAGAAAGGTCAAGAAGGATCAGACTTATTGTCACATAAAATGCTGCTTGTGACTTTAATGCTGGCCATTTTGTAACAGCAATGGAGAAGAATCTGTTTAGAGGGACTCAAATATGAAGTTCCAGGGAAGGTGAGTATGGATATGGGAGGTAATGACACATTCAAGAACTTTGAAAAAGGGAATCAAGGTGGAGCTGATTACTTGCAAAATTACAGGGATTAAACTAAACTAAACTTTGGAGGAGAGAAATGATAACAGTAAATTTGAAGGCGAGTGGGATAGTATTTGAGGGAGTGAACCATCAACAACATAAATAACATTAGGGCCAGAAAGACAAGTTTGACAATCAGCAGACTGGTGGTAATAAAGTTATCTGAGTACAAGGTAGCTCTTATGGACATCTAGGTTGGGGATAGTTTGGCTTGATGGGCTAGGGTAAAAGGTTAGTATTCTATTTCAGGATAACCAGAGGTCTGTTGTTGCTTTGTGTACTTTGTCTGTATCTAGCAATGAATGGCTAAAAATGTACCTGAGGGCTGAATCTTATGTATTTTCGGCTCAGTGAGACTTGAGTGAAAAGTTCATTCAGGGTCTTTCGCTACGTGGTCTAGCAAGTTTTTTTTGCCATATCTTACCAAATATACCTCATTGACCACATAGCCTGCTTGTATCATATCCTACATGTCCGATTCCAACCCCATCTTATCACTCACTGTTCTCAGAACAACTTGCCACTCAGCAAACATTCACCAAAAGACTGGCATCTTTAAAAAACTGCTGTGTACCCAGACAAGCATTGCCAATCTATAATTGCCACTCATCAGCAGCATAATAGCACAGTAAACCATAATGCCCACAGCTAACACTACCCATACACATACCCCATTCTGTTGCCTCCAGTCTGGAATTGTTTAAAGACATATTGATCAGAATTCAGGACCAGCATGTTCCAGTTAGGAGGAAGGACAAGGATGGCAAGGTAAGGGAACCTTGGATAATGAGGGAGGTTGTGAATTTAATTAAAAAGGAGAAAAAAAAAGCATATGTAAGATTTAGGAAGCTAAAACTGGACAGGGCATGTGAGGAATAAAAGCAAAGCAGAAAGAACTCGAGCAGGGAATCTGGAGAGCAAGAAAGGGCCAGAAAATGATTTCGGCAAGTAAGGTTAAAGAGAATCCCAAAGCATTCTATACATACATTAAAAACAAGAGAATAACTAGGGACAAGATAGGACCACTCAAGGATACAGGGGGGAACTTGTACTTGAAGTCAGAGGATGTGGGCGAGATCCTAAATGAGTACTTTGCATCAGTCTACACCCCAGAGAAGGATACAGAGTTTAGTGAGATTGGTGTGGACCTTCTAACATGCTGGGGCATTTTGAGGTCAAGAAAAAACTGGTGTTGGGTTTCTTGAAGAATATTAAGGTAGATAAGTCTCCAGGGCCTGATGGTATCTAACCTCGGCTTTTGAAAGAGGCAAGACAGGAGATTGCTGGGGCCTTGACCGAGATCTTTGTATCTTCGCTGGCGACTGGAGATATCCCAGAGGACTGGTGAGCAGTTAATGTTGTTCCTCTGTTCAAGAAGGAACTAGTGATAATCCAAGAAACTAAAGACCAGGGAGTCTCACATCGGTAGTTGGGAAGCTACTGTAGAGAATTCTTAGGGATAGGATTTATGCGCATTTGGAAAAGCAAGAGCTAATTAGGGATAGTCAGCATGCTTTGCGTGGGCCAGGTCATGTCTTACTAAACTGGATTGAATTTTTCGAAGAGCTGACGAAGTTGATCGATGAGGGTAGAGCAGTGGTTATTGCCTGCATGGATTTTAGTTAAGACTTTCAACAAGTTAGTGGTAGAGGGGTGTTTTTCTGGCTGGTGGTGCATGACTAGTGGTGTTCTGCACGGATCAGTACTGGGACTTCTGCTGTTTGTGATGGATGAAAATGTAGATGGTTGGGCTAGTAAGTTGCAGATGACAAAGACCAATGGAGTTGTGTAGAAGATTGTCAAAGGATACAGTGGGATGTAGATCAGTTGCAGATGTGGATAGAGAAACAGCAGATGGAGTTTAATCCAGGTTAAGTGTGAGGAAAGTGTACAGTTAATGGCAGGACCCTGAACAGCATTGATGTACGAAGGGATCTTGTGGTTCAAATCCATAGCCTCCTGAAAATGGCCACGCAAGTAGACAGGGTAGTAAAGAAGACATATGGCATGCTTACATTTTTGGTCAAGGAATTGAGAACAAGAGTCAGGATGTCATGTTGCAGCTTTACAAGGCTTTGATTAGGCCACATTTAGAGTACTGTGCTCAATTCTGTTCACCACAT